CAGCCAGTATCTGAAAACAAGCTGAAGTGAAGAATAAGATACGTTTGAGCCAAACTGTAAATCGGATCCATTAGCTGGCCAATCTGGAGTTCCAAAGGTTTAACTTGGAACATAAAGAAGGAGAACACAAATTTGAAACAAGCAAAGCAGAGTTTTGCGAAGCTGGAATAATGAAAGCAAGCTTCTGTTGCTGCAGCTTCATTCCAACCCTTTGATGAATTGATGATGGAATTTTAATTGTCCGCTTTCCAAATCTCTGCAGTTGAGAAGTTGGAGAAGGTCCAGTACTGAGTCAGAAGAAAGTTGGTTTGAAAAATGCCCAGCTATGTTTTGATTAGAGGCAGATACTGTTTATCTGGGATCTAAAAAGATCTGGACGCTTCCTGCATATCCTTTTTGGGATAGTGGTGTTTCTGGAGTTGCCACCACTGCCTATCAGTTGCTTCATCCTCTGACAGCTTGATGGATATTAAACAGCATGTTCTACTTTCCTCAGTCATCACCTTTCCATCATTTATTTAGTACTTTACCTTTAGGGAAATCTGACAGATACTTCTATTCTGCATTAGGCTGAAAAAGTATATTATTAAATGATACTCTGGTTAATTACCTACAAATTCATGCTTCAGTCCAGAAATTATGCCAGATAGAACAAGAGTGAGGAAATAGTACTCAGGAATCAATATTCATTTCAAAGACCATGTAGATTTTAGTGGCAGTATTTAAGATATTTGGAAACTTATCCAAGGTCCAGAATTTACTGCACCTCTGTAGGGTTTGCCAATTGCACAGGGGAAGATAGGACAGCACTCCAGAGGGTTAACATCATTGCCCAGAGGATCATGGGTTGCCTTCTCCCCTCTTTGGAAGAGCTTTATAGCTCCCGCTGCCTTAAGAGAGTTCAAAACATTCTCAAAGATCCATCTCATCCTGGGCAGCCTTTTTTTGAACTATTACCATCTGGCAGATGGTACAGGACAATAAAAACAAGGACAAATAGGCTGAAAAATAGCTTCTATATCCCAGGACAGTAACTCGGTTGAATTCTACTGTATAGGGCAATATTAATACAATATCACGTTTTCAATTCAATTGTATAGAATGTGAAGGATGTGTGTTTGTGTTTTGTTTTTATGGTTACAATGTACATTGAAGATGGCATTTAATTTTGTTGTACAAAATTGTTGGGCCAGTCCCTCCCTCTCAGCCCAACTCACCTTACAGTTTTGAACGTGTGTGTGTGGGGGGGAACGGGACAGGAGGAAGAGGAGGAGGAGGAAGGCATATTGGGTATGTTTGAGCTATTTATAAAGTAATAAAGATGGGATAAAAATTAAATATATCCAGAAAGTTGAAAATGACCTTGGAGCATAAGAAACTATAGTCCAAACAGAATTCAGATTTATTAAAAAGCCTACACACACACACACAAACACACATGCATATATACATACATCTATACATCCAAAGGTGATTTCCAAAAGGCAACTGGACTTTCTTGGTTTTTTCCTTGAAAACGTTTCACTTCAAGAAGCTTCCTCAGTTGAAGGCTGTCTATCCGTTAGATCAGGAGAGGGCAACTATGTCCTCCATCCTGCCTGAGGAATTCTGGGACGTAAAGGGGCCATAGTTGCTCACCCCTGCATTAGATTCTTTTTCTTCATCTGAGGAATCCATTGTAGAATAGAAATCAAGGCCAGATAGTCTTCACATAAAGTTTTCAGTGTTTTCAATGCTGCACATAACACAAAAATATGTGTGTTTTGAATCAGTGGGATAGACATTGATGTAATAAATAGGATGGGATAGGATAGGATAGGATAGGATAGGATAGGAGAGGAGAGGAGAGGAGAGGAGAGAGAGAGAGAGAGAGAGAGAGAGAGAGAGAGAGAGAGAGAGAGAGAGAGAGATGATAAACAAGCAGATAGATGATAGATAGATGATAGATAGATAGATAGATAGATAGATAGATAGATAGATAGATAGATAGATAGATAGATGATAAACAGAAGCAGATAGATGATTGATGGATGGATGGATGGATGGATGGATGGATGGATAAACAGAAGCAGATAGATAGATGATAGATAGATAGATAGATAGAT